GTAAGAATGGAGACTATTTCATTTAATAAATGTTTTATTTTGATATATAAGTTGTTCGAGTTTTTTCACCTAAAAAAGCGACATTAATTTATTGACGACCTAATAATTTTCACTCTTGTAACAGCAACGAGACGCGAACCTCGGATCCAAAGTCCAACATGCTTATCACTAGGCCAAGTCTGGCTCACATTGTTCGGGAAAGACAGAGGTGTGGTTAGTGTTTTAGCTTAACGCTATGGAATCCATGAAGGTCGTTTGACGAAAACGTTAAACACACATTTCTTTCCTTTACAACATTTCTAACCAATTTTTATCACCCGTAGATGTATAATTGCTATTAATCGCAAAACTTTTAATATTTAAGTAAACTTTTTTCAATATTCTTAAACATCGATTGAAGCCAGATGCACGAATTTCGTGACAAAAAAAAAAGATACATAAACAGTATTATGGAATGATTATACCGAAAGTTCTGTAGACTATTAAGTTTCATAAAGTTTATTTTATCTTTTAATATCCTAGTTTATGTCTCTATGTTTAGCAAAGACATTGTTTATTAAGATTTTATTCAATATAAAGATATGTTATATTGCAAACTTATTCGAGTTGTTCCCACAGGTTTAATTTGGATGAATATTTTATTTTATTAATATTCGAACTTACTGTATTAAATATTACATTGTTATTGTTTTCCAAACTACTTGTGTCAAGTACTGTGTTGTTATTCAAACTCTGTGATAAATACTTTATTGTTATTCAAAGGCCCCATTTGAATATAAATTGTTGCTGATAATCAACTCCCTGTGTTAAACAACGTATTGTTTTTTTTTATATTCAGACTCCCTGTGTTAAACACTGTATTGTTATTGATATTCAAACTCCTTGTGTTAAACAGTGTATTGTTTTGATATTCAGAGTGGCTGTTTGAACTACCGATCCCTATTTCAACGATTAAATGTGTGAGCTACTCTTTGTAACTTAATCAGGTTTCGTAAACTCACCATAACAATATTTTCCTGATGTTTCAAATAAATAGCATTAGTTCCTGGAAATGCTCACAGCTGGCACCTTAGTAGTAGTAGCATATACCTGTTATCTGTCTGTTCGTCCGTTCGTGCCAAATTTCAAAATTAAACCGCTGTCAGAAACACAATTGTTAACACTTCTTAAAACTAAGTTTGTACAAGTAAAGTAATTTGACAACAAGCTAATAAAAACAAGAAACGCGACCTATTTTACAACTGTAAAAGCATATCTAGAACAGACAACTCTAAAATATGTCTTTTTGAAAATATTTCGTAATATACGTACATTGAATAACACAATCTTATGTGAAAACTAATGGAAAATATACCTTATGAAATATCCTCAATACATCCACTTTCACATCTTATTAGTTGGATAGTCAGTTTATATCAAAAATATGAATCAATTCCCCATATGTAAAACAGTAAAACATCAATATAATAAGTACTGAGTATACTTGTGGAATCATGAAATAACCCTCTAAAAACTTATAAAAAAGACATACTTTGGGGGATTTAGTGTCGTATTTTAAAGTTACATCATGATAAGCTCTCAAAAGCTCTATGTACACGTTGAAACTATACAATACTAAAAAAACTTGCTAAAACAATGTTAAAAAAACGTTCACAGCTACCAAAATAACACACGTTTAAAATATTGTGCTATGGTGAATAAGTGCCAAATACTAGTCTTTTTATGTGGTTCACCTCAAGTTGGCATCAGCTTAAGAATTTACTTAGCAATTAGGTTGATCTTAGATTTATTCGTTTTTTGTAATCGGCATTGTATATTTTTGATAAAAGTTCAGGTGTCAGAGCTCACCACTGTGAAAACACGGCAGTCCCTTAATAAGTCGTAGTTTTTATAGTCCTAATGTGATAGTTCAGCGTTATTGTACAAAGTCTATGATAGCTAAAGGAGTTTGAAACCTTATAACCTAGAAACAGTCGTGTGTTTATTGTATAATGAAATATGAATTATGCCACTGCA